TAAACAGATACGACATAATAGTAGTAGAAAGACAAATTATGTACCGAACTAAGCTATTCTTACTAAAAACCAAAACGTGTTTGTTAGTTTTTCCTTTTGTTACACAGCAACGGCCCAATGGACTAAAATGGGGTTTACATCATTTAAAGGTTCGAGAGCATTGATATACCTATATAAAAACATAGATACACGGTTCCAATAAGTCAATGTTCTTCTAATGAAGAAGGTAAACAACTTTAAATTTTTGGTCTTTCCTTTGACCTACAATATCAATGATAAATATTCATTGCTGTATGAATGATGTATTCACCAAACCACATTTGTTATTAAGTATCATTCATTCTGGATATCTGAGCTTGTGACCTAAGAAAGCTTTACTAGGTTTTTTTTTCGTCTTAATTTTCATCTCATTCTTGCATCTTGCCCCACAAAACCGCCGCCAGCGTTCGTTCACCTCTCTAGAGTTTGTCGCGTCGCCTTATAAGAACACTCGGCGCCCACTAGGTATCGTATTAGCCGATGAAGCCTTTGTGTCTGTTTAGATCACGCTTTTTGTATCTTCTACCTTTTGTTATTTTTTGAGAAGTTTTCCTTTTATATTATGTTTTGAAAGGGTGAGACTTCTGGTACTTCAACAACTGGAAGCAGTGTATAGAGGCTTTACTGCGCCTGGGGTCATGTCGATTCCTGTTTCATGATGAAATGTAGGCCGCTACCGTTTCCTCACAAGTAGCTTATTTATGTATATTGCTTCGATCCTACATATCACATTTATCTATTTTTCATAGAATAAAACTTAGAATTAGAATAGTCATCATTGGTAATCCGGAAGTTTATTTCCAATTTTATCACTGTAACTTTATTACCATATTAGGGGTCAAATTTTACAATTTTTTCCCAGAGGATACCTTCTTCCTATGAGAAATCTACATGCCATATTTCAAGTTTCCAGCATTTTACTTCCTGAGATATCGTGATAAATTAGGGATTAGTGTTTTGTTTTTATATAAATTACCACTGGTAATATATAAATTACCAGAAGAAAAGAGGTAAAGGAGAAATTATAAAAACTAAACGACGCCACGTTTTAGTACTACAGTAAAACGAATTTCGGTCTGTTAACAATTATTTGTGTCAGTTGAAATTAGAAAGGGTAAGGCTTTATGTTTACGATTACTACACTTAATAACACATGTATTTCAGGAGTTTTTTTTATTTCAACATTTGAAGGGACAGCTACAAAATTTTTGTTGCTGTCAAATTTCAAAAACCCAGACGCAAGATCAGATCACTGTTCGAAAAATTTTCGTCAGATCACAAGGAAATTTTCTAGAAAAACTTTTATTCTAAGCATTAAATATAAAAGTGATATGCAAAATGTATCTCCCCTCATACGAACTAAGTGCTCTCAGAAGGAAACGTGAGGGGCACACGTAACTAACGCGTATAAATATGCATAGGAATCAAGTTAAAGGAGAATTTCATACAAATATTATCTCTACTATCTTTAAATATAGAAAAATAAGGAATATTGGACAAGATTTGTATATTTTTAATAGATAAAATAAAATACTAAACTAAGTACTAAATTTGGATGTACTCAGATGTGTAGTATCATGTTTGATTGTATGTATGTATAGAGACAATAGTGACGCCTTCCTTCATACCTATTACCAATGTTATAGTAGTTTATAACCAAAAGTTGTTTTGGTTCGCCTTGTTTTAACCAAATGAGATCATAAAATTCCATGCAAGGTAAATTTTTGTAACAAAAGAGTTTGTGTTTATGTTAGTTAGTCCTTTACACTGGACGGATTTGGATGAAATACATTATGGTCTGGAGTGATATTGGCGATAGAAGTAATAAAATTTGCCAAAAGGTGGCACCGTCTGTATATAATACTGTCGACTCACGTCCCTAGGTTGCTTCCCCATACAAACTTTCATCCCCATTTTCACCCCCTTAAGGGAAGATTTCCGGGATAAAAGCTCTAACCATCTTCTTACCAGATTTCATCTAAATCGGTTCAGTAATTTCGGAGCCTATTCAGTACAAACAAACAAACAAAAAAATAAATCTTTCCTATTTATAAGTATAGATTATAAATACAAGGAACCTCCTAAGCGAAGTGAGGGTAAATCGCTAGTGCATTATATTTTTAAGTATATGCAGAGTTGCAAGGTAATGAAGTATCTACTTAATAAAAATTCTAAATTCATTTACTATCTCATATACAACGCACAGCCTACACTACACTATTTTAAGCTAAAATTAAGCCTATAAGTTAAGCTAACGAAGCATTTTAAAAACTTTATCGTATATATTTTTGAAGTTACATATGGAAATTGATGTTTAAGCATTTGTTTATATTGCCGATGGGAAATCCCAGCTTACTGCATGTTCTCAACAAATTGGGTAAATTGCTCATATGCTTTAATTGAAGAAAATCTCTAAAAAATGTTGGTAATCTAAAAAAATAACTGATATTTTTTTCAAAAAATCCTGTGGAAGCTGTGTTGCTACTACATTTTATGTTGTGAAAAATAATCCAAGAGTTGAGGATATGGAAGTGCTGTCTATCCTTCATTTCAGACTTATCCCTGTCCCACATCTGATAATCGCATTAGTTGGCTTAATATAGGATAGATAATTATGACATAACTTTATAATCGAGGGGAGTTTTAATAATCTTAACAAATGTTTAGTACATATAGTACTAGCAACCTGACTTCAATCGATCACTTTTCTTAAAATGTAAAATTTTCATAAAATAAATGTTTTGTTGATTGTTTTAAGCATTATGCTTAAAATGGTATTTTTGGTCTGTTTTAGGTTCACTAAACATTCATCGTAACAGGTTTCTATGATACATAGTATTGATAGTTATATATTAAAATTATATCTATGTGTTACACTGATGTAACGAGTATCGAGTTAATCTTGACAGAATTGGTGACATTATTGATATGTTCAGCATTTTTTTAACATCTCACTGCTAACCACAGACCTTCCTTCAATACGAGGGGAAACAAGCCATAGTGTAACGACGCTGGCCAAGTGTGGGGCACACTGAGCATGTCTTTCGAAATATTGCTAGGTTCTCTTAGACATAGGTTTCCTAACGATATTTTCCTTCATCGTAAGATAAGTGGTAATTATCTTGGAAATGATTCGTATATGAAAATATCAGATGTGCGAGACCCGGGATTTGAACCCACTTCACTCGGTTTCCCAAGCGAGCGTGCTACCACTGGGCTACCACTGCTTCACTATTTACTAGAAATATAAAATAGTCAATTATTTTGAATCAGTCTTGAATCCAATCAACACTGGATGTGTGCGATCGGTCCCTGGAGGCAGATTTTCAATTGTTCGATGTAAACTCATCTCGAATGCCTTTGTGTCTTAGTGTGTGGATGTAGTTCAGTGCTAATGGCACTTATTTAGTGATGTCAAAAGAATTTATTATTTTAGACGTTTTAATACTGGGCGGGTCAACTTTTAATATTTTATTTTTGTAGTGATTATGTATTTATTTATTATTAAGTTTTTTTAAAATAAGTTTTGTTGTTTTTAATTCGCTTACTATCATAATTGCGAAAGTTTGTATATATGTATGTTTGTTTGTTTGTTCCTTCTACATCTGTCACTATTTCAAGTAGTAACAAAGGTACACACACGTATTTAATAGTGAAATAAAATTTCACTTGTAAATACGACTTTTATTATGTTTTATTTTAAAATATATTTCAACGTTAGTAGAAAATATAATAAAACTATTTATAGTAAAGTATAACTTCCCCTGGCGACGAGTGGGCTGTCATGTTTTTTGCTCGATCAATAACGGTGCAAGTCCATTGCTGTCATTCTATGTTTGTGATTTATTCACATATTATAAATACACTAGCGACTCACCCTGGCTTCGTCCGCATTCTTTCCTAGGTAAATTTTAACTGTATGTACGGAATAGATACACTATAGTATATATTATAATTATAAACATGGGTATGATGACCTATTATAGGTTGTATTATAACGAGTTTTCCCGTGGGGATGAGATAATCTCCCGTCTCTCCACCTATCTCCTCACAAACAATCACGCCAATCCGTCACTATTTCGGAGTGAAAGCAGGACAAACAAACAAACACACTTTCACATTTATAATATAAAAAATATGGATGAGTTTTTTGTATCCTGTTCTGTGGATCATAATTTCTGATGAAGATTATGAATTACTTAAGAGTTGAATTCTTATTGAGTTTAGCTTTTATGTGAGCAGCCGGTTTGATCTCTTTTTATCTATACATATAATAAAATTGTAACTAAGCCGAATCTATACATTAAATATTTTATGGAAAATCTTATTGAAATAAACAATAATATCGATACAAAGGGCGAATCTATAGTTTTTAGAATTTTTGCCTGTCTGTCTGTTACCGCATCACAGAAAAACCACTGGAGGGGGTTTGATGAAATTTGGTATGGACATAGCTGGTTATCCGGGTCAACATATAGGATACTTTTTACCGCAGGCAAATATCTCATTTCCGAAGAAAAATACAAAAACTGCTATGTAAGGGTATACTAATATGTAAAACCTAAGAATTTGGTTATTAGTCATCTGAACGCTGGCGGAGCCGCGGGTATTGCTAGTACCAAATAATTGTTTTAATCATACTCATATATTCTAACATTTACTGTATGTGAGTCCGTGTAGCTTACGTTATCAGTATGATCTGCTTCGCTCCTTAAAGCAAAAATTTAATACACTATAAACTACGAGTACAGTAAATTGGCTATAAGATACAAGAGGATTTTTTCAAATAGGAATGGTAGTTAAAACTATTGTTGTGCTCAAAAACCCACGAATCTCAACAATTCTCCAAATTTGATGCAAACTTCAAAATAGTTTGTACGTATATATTACTGTTTGCTTTTTGCAATCGTTTATAGAAATATAACTGAAATTTTAATTAATATTTTCTTTTCTTATTGCAGTTTTCACCACAGCTAAGTGCTTCCAACAACAGTACTTCAGGGTACCTCCTAGAAGTCTTCGAGTACAAGAAGGCTCGGAAGCTGTATTGGAATGTGCTGTCGCAAATCTAGCTGGACAAGTTCAGTGGGCTAAGGATGGATTTGCTCTTGGTAAGTCGTTTTTTTTAATATATTCTTATTTAGGAAAATTTTGTGCTACCAGAAATAATTTGTTAGTCTCGTCTTTTTTGTGGAACAAGCTTACGCGGAATGACTTTAGAAATGGACAGGTTATGTAAAGCTCATGTTGGAAAGCTTGTCTTCTAAAACTTTTATTTTTAATTAACTATTTTTTATCAATGAACAACAGATTAATCTTACCTGAAGTACTATAAGTTCATCTTTAAAATATATGATAAACATCATTGAACCGGGAGTAGAGACTCATTTCTCTTTGAAATTTTAAAATATTTAAATTAAAACAAACCGAAAATATTTACACCTATCATTTGAAAATTTGGTAATGATCAATACAAACAGTAAAAATGTATGTATTTTAGAATTGACAGAATTTGTACACCAATCACGTACTCGTACACAGTGAATTCCCTAAACTTTATTTTTAAATATAAAATAAAATAAAAATGTTGGGACATTAACATACAGAACTATCTAGTTCCATGGTAAGCTACGAGATATGTGTTATGGATACCAGATAGTTGATACACTACACACATACAACTTTAAATACTACATATTATAAATATAAATAGCCATAACTGGAGTATAAACATTCATGCTCATAACAAAATGATTGCGCCCAACGGGACTCGAACCCACGACCGCTGGCGCAGCAAGGGCCACAACAAACTGAGCCAAACGTGTCGTATTTAAAATGCAGTATTAATTACAGTACTATAAAAATAGAGGGTGAGCTTTGATAAATGAAGTGTCAAAAGCTTTAACGAGTGACGTTCAAAAGATAAAATTTCGAAAGATATCTCGCAAGATAAAAAATACCCATAAAAGATTGTAAGAAGCAAAAAAATGTTATCTAATTGTGATAAGAAGGAAACTATAAAAAATTAATAAGACATGTTTTTTTTTCTATTCAATCTGTCGAAATATATTAAATAAATAAATATGTTGGGACATTAAAACAGCACCATATAGTTCCATGGTAAGCTACGAGGCTTGTGTTATAGATACCAGATAGTTAGGACACTACACATGTGTAACTTTAATAAATCTATACTAATATTATAAAGAGGTAAAGTTTGTGATTTTGTGAGTTTGTGACGTTGTAGGGGGCTATCTCTGGATCTATTGAACTGATTTAGATGAAATTTGGTAAGAAGATTGCTTGAGACCCTGTAAGGGACATATGATAGTTTTTATTCCGGAAATCATCCCTTAAGGGGGTGAATATATATGTATATATATATATATGTTGGGACATTAACACACAGCACCATCTAGTTCCATGGTAAGCTACGAGGCTAGTGTTATTGATACCAGATAGTTGATACACTAAACATATATAACTTTAAAGACATACATATTATAAATGTGGATAATGGAAATGGAAGCTTGTATTAGGAATCAAGCTATGCGAGCGAAGCGAGGGTGAGTCGCTAGTATATAATAATCAAGCCAATTTACTGATTACAGATGGCTTAACACTTATTAGAAGTAGTTATTACTACAAATTACTTATTATTGAAATTTCTGAGTCTGTACACTTGAAAACAACCTTGTTCATTTTAGTTAGACGGCATAATTGATAATTTGTAGCCATAGAGACTGAAGTTTTTGGAAAATCTATACATAAATAGGCAAAGATAAAACAGTTCTATACCTTTTTCTCCTCTGACAATAGATTTTTTTTGCTTAGTAGGTAGCTTTTGACGAGCTTTCGTGTTATCAATTATATATATTGGAACTAGTTAGGTTTTTTATATAGATAGGTAAATTCTATTCATATATGTTATTCTCTTCAATAACGTTTAAAAGTTTATTTTAGATTTATCAGAGATGACATATTTTCTCACAGTAAAAAGCATCCTATATGTTGACCCGGATAACCAGCTATCATCATTGCAAATTTCATCAAAATCTGTCCTGTAGTTTTCTCGTGATGCGTTCCCAGACAGACAGACAAAAATTTTAAAAACAAAATTTCAATAAGATTTAAAACAAAATGTATAGATCCGACTCAGAATTCAAAAGTTATAGGATAAAGTATAATGTAAACGAATTAAAAATGATAATTATGTGAGGAAAATAGTTGAACTTATTCACTTTTATATTAAGTCAGATTATAACTTCGTCGGATAACTTTTATATGTATGATGATTAAGGTCTAAAATACCTCGAAGTTTTCCGAAGCTACGCTAATGTTAGCTAATACATAATTTATCATATTTCATACATAAATGACTAGCGGCTCACCTTTGCTTCGCTCGGGTTCGTTCCTAGGTAAATTTTAACTGTTAGTTTGGAAGAGATTACTATATATTTTATTTTATATAGCCTTTAGCCTTCCTCAATAAACGGGATATCTAATGCAAAAATAATTTTTCAAATCGGATCAGTAGTTCCTGAGATCAGCGCATTCAAACAAACAAACTCTGCTTCTGTATAATATTGCTTATTATAGATTATTTTTATCAATACTTTTGCTATTTACTTATTTTTAATTTATGAAGTCTTAGAAATTTTTATTTCCGTTGTAAAAGACGCCATTTTATATTTTTTGCTTGAAACGACCTCCGTTGACAGTATTAGGATTGTTTCCGGTTCAAATATGTTAAAAAAAAAACTTAACATATCCTATACAAATAAAAAAAAAAATTGAAATAATTAAACATTAAATACTAGAATACAGAGTGTAGAAAGAAATAAAGATGGAGAGAGAAAAAATGAGAGTAATTTCATTTCCGCATTGCTTACAAATAATAGCATCGTATGAATTGTTTAGTATTAAAAATTATATTCTACTAGTTTTATTACGAGAAGTAGGTTTATTATATAAGCATATTCATTAAATTACAGTATAAAGTTAATGCGAAAGCGAGTTTCGTTTAAAAGCTGCTTATGAAAGCCCTTTTGTTTTCGTAACTTCATTGTAATATACTAATATATGTTATACCTAGATGTTAGTCCAGCTCATAATCTATCTGTATTCTAAATTTCATCTAAATACCTCCAGCCGTTTCAACTTGAGGGAGTAACAGTGCTTATATAATTTACTAGTGAATTAACCTCGCTTCGCTTGGGTTTTGTCGCAATTTGATGGCTTTTAATTTTTTTGCGTGGAACCCTAATTCTTTTTCTTTAATAAAAGTTACTCATTATAACATCAGCTATCTGCTAGTCAAAGTCGCGTTACAATCGACCCAGCCGTTTCTAAGATTAGCCGGAACAAACAAACAGACAGAAAGGCAGATATTTTAAAAATTATACTTTTTTACTTTCATCTGCATTTAATAAAAACCTGTTATTTTGATATTACAAACAGACACTTCAGTTATATTTATTTGTATAGTATATTAACATTGAATCCATCACCAAATGCACCAAAATAAAGTAGAAGATAAAAACGGTCTATTTTAAAACAGATAACACATCTCTTAATAAAACAAAGAGAAAGAAAGGAATTGGGTCAACATTATTTTACATTTTAAGCACGAAATTATATGTATAGTAGGTCGACAGCTCTTATAATGTACTGACCGCTTCGAGGACAAGATGCCAAACCGATACTTGTATAAAGCATACTACTTGTTTTCCACGACTTTACGTGATATCTTCTTAACACCCTATTGACCGACTTTCAAGTTGAAGAGTATATTTTTCTTTGTATTTGAAGCGATGTCTTTGCCAATTTCCATAGAATTTGTGAATATTTATAAGTTTTTATTGTATTAAATACAAGTATTTAAGCTTTTATAGTTGGTAAATATTTTTATAATGTAAACTGAAATACTTACCATATTTTTCACTTGCTTTCATGAGTTTCCGATATTTCGGCACTGTCACGGGTCATGGTCGAGCATTGGTATTTTGAAGTTTATTGGAATTTTTAGAATTTTTCCACCCAATAATTTTACTAGATGTTTTATTTTCTCATGGGTGGATTAATTACTTTGTTAATCAATTCGATTTTGATTTTGAATACTTTTTTTGTTAAAAAGTACTTTTATGACTCTTTTGTTACAAAAGGTAGGATTTTTTACTTCCTATAAGAATGGAATATTCTCTTAGATCAAAACTTTAAAAAAATAGTGCGTGTGTGCCATTCATACATGGTAGAAGTGAAACTTCAGAAAAGTAAACTACGAGAGAATGAGATGAATATAGAATATCAGGAGTAGGTTAATTGTAAGGTTTCTTTTTTTTAATAATATTTTTACAAGTTTAAAAGTTATTTTACATTTTATTTGACATAAATATACATTACATATTATTCAGTAATTCATTTTATTATTTTTCACTTCCTGTGTAATGTATTCTGTCTCAAATAACAACGGTTACCATGACAACATCGCAATGTATTCTATCTCATTCTCTTGTCAGCTTAATCCTATATATTTTTGTATTTAGTGTTGCATTTCAGTTTCATCTAGTTTCAAATCACAAAGATTCTAAAGAAGTTTCACTTCAAATAACACTAACTTTGGCATTTACCTATACCTAACATAATTTATTGTCATAGAATTCAACATTTACATAACAAAGATAATTGTTCCAGATAATCAAAATATTCGTGATACAATTTAATGGATGTTTAAAAGAAACACATTAAGAAATCGTGGCATACATTATAAGTGATATGATAAACTAATGATGGTATTTCCGATACTTATAAGGTTCTAGCGAGTCAACCCCGCTCCGCTCGGGTTCGTCCCTAGTTACGTTATAAAGTTTAGTAGGTATAGATTTCTGAAAGATGAGATGTTTTCTCGTAGTAAAAGGTATACTATATGTTGACCCGGATAACCAGCTATCATAAAACCAAATTTCATCAAAATCTGTCTAGTGGTTTTCTCGTGATACGATCCCAGACAAACAGACAGACAAAAAATCTAAAAACTATAGATTCGGCCTTTGTATCTATAATAATGATTATATCAATAAGATTTTTCAAAAAATATGTAATGTACAGATTT